TTATATATTTATTTGTATATATATACTTATATATCTATGTATGTAATATATATAAGTAGATAGATATAGATATACTAATGTTGACTAGATAAGATAGAGATAGAATAGATAGATAGATATAGATATATACTACTATATACACTATATCATATATGCATAAATATATAACTCTACATATATATTATATAGTATATATATATATATATATTATATATATATATATATATATATATATATATATACATCACACCCTGTTGGTGTGTAAGAGGGATATGTGTATCTGTGCGTGTGATATCGCATTCACTCAGGAAACGTTCCCACTTTTTTAAAACGTTTTCACTGATTAACGTCAATCATTCAGTGATCTGGTTCTATCATATTAACTTTTGCACAGAGAAAGTGTGTGTATATTGTATGTATGTATGTATGTATCTATCTCTCTCTCTCTCTATATATTATATATATATGTGTGTGCTGTAGTGTGTGTGTATGTGTGTCGTGTGTGTGTGTGTGTGTTGTGTGTGTGTGTGTGTGTGTGTGTGTGTGTGTTGTGTGTGTATATTATAATATATTATATATATATATATATTATATTTAGAGAGAGAGAGAGAGAGAGAGAGAGAGAAGAGAGAGAGAGAGAGAGAGAGCAGAGAGAGAGACGAGAGAGAGAGAGAGAGAGAGAGCGGAAAGAGAGAGGGAGTTAGGGAGAGAGCCAGATCGCAACACTCATGTTATCATTCTTGGAAAGTTATATTGGTCGGGATTTACGCGCTCCAGGGAATGGTGTAACATTGTACTGATGCTACATCATAGTCCCGAGCAGGCCAAAGCCCTCTCCAACAATCTGATCCATGCTTGTTCACAGACACGCGCAGTTTCTTGGGGATGTGAAGACAATTTCGTGCAAGTATTGGGGGAAAGAGGAGTTTGGGCAGGAATGGGAACTTATTTTTGGTTGATAATTATTTATCTATTTTATTATTGAAAATTCAAGATGTTTGTTGAAGTAGGAATAGCAGAACGACAAGGATCTGTGGAAGAGGGAGTCGTGTCGAGAGCGCAAAATTAGAGCCGAAACTCGGGAGCAAAGAATAGACTTAGGTTGTGAGTTTAATATTTTTCCTTAGTTTATGACATTACCATTCGTGAATGCTGATTATTTCTTGTACCGACGACTTCCAACATTTTGTCCTCTATAAGAATAGCGTCTTCAATTTGCCATAGTTTAGTTCGTCCATACCATAAATGTTAACCAATCATCTGTAAGACGAGTGTATTACATATGACCAAACATATCTGTTCTTTAATAATATGCCTTGACCATCGCTTCAAGTTTGCCACACGTCTGAGGGAAACTGCAGAGAGCTTCAATGAAAGTGACTGCTTTGAAGAACCAGAAATCTTGATTTCTATGGCTTGTACAATGCCCAAGTCCGTCCCTTCCTGGAATATGCATTGTCTTGGATCTCAGCAACAAAGATATACTTATATCTGATGGATGAAGTTCAATGTGCTTACCATCTGACTGACAACATTCAAGACATGTAACCCAGACGACAGTGCGGCATCGAAGAAATATGTCAGGACTAAGGCAATACACAAAAGCCAAGTGCAAATAATCTATGGTTCAATACCAGCCAACGCTCAGATTTTTCTTTCCAGAACTACAAGACTCTGGAATTGCTAGCCATTTCGGTACAACTTTGGTCTTATCTTTGACTTTAAGTACTGTATATCTAGTCATATTTTGTAGTTTATTTTGCTTTGGTAATTGTTACCCTCCAGAGACTAAGTCCCAAAACCAGGGTATCATGTAAACCCAAAAACAATCTGATCTTTGAATTTATGTACAGTATATCTATTCATAGTATTTTAGTTTATTTTGCTTTGGTAATTGTTACCCTCCCAAGTCCCAAAAGCAGGGTAACATGAGAACCCCAAAACCCAAACCTAACCTTTCCTACCTTCTATTTATTTCCTAGACTGGGGGGCAAGCAACCTGCACTTCCTCTTTATTAGCACTTTGTGTCTTGTAGAAAACAGACCAAGATCTCTGGCTGTGTGGTCGTGTTATGGACTTAGTCTCCGAATGGTAGTATGCAGCAAGTATATTCATCAATTCATAGTAGATATGAGGCTGCTGCTGCTGTATGTTTTTTTTTTTTTTTTTTTTTTTGTGCTCTATAATATGGCAGGGTCTATTTCCCCCTATCTTTGTGCATTGCTAATTATCCGAAGTTATCATCACCTTTTTATCTAAAAAAACAATTGTATCTATGAATAAAGATGTTAAAAAAGAGAGACAGTGGAGATTGGAGACAGACTAAAAGAGAAGAGACAGAAGAGACAGAAAAGAGACAGTGGGGAAAAAAAAATCAACAAAATACATTTAAACCCATGTACCTCCAGCTTGGGAATACATTCCACTTCTCCATTTTCCAATATAACAGCTTATATTATAGTTACTGATCATCTTAGTTGCTCAATTTTCTTCAATTAATACACAACAAACCACTGAATGAGGAAGAAATAAAGTGTGCCTTTGGAATGTATTAGAATTTCTTTTTCTTTTGCATTGTGGATTGGAATTTGTATTTTCTTATGAAGTCAGGGAAAAAAGGTTAAAAACAAACATGTTGAATTTTAACGTTCATTCATAAAAAATATGGAAAAAAAATACATCATACATTCACATTTAACAAACAATAACATGAGTAAATAGTTACTCAAATTCAACATAGTCCTCTTTATATTAGTTTCCGTTGAAAGTTTCAATTACTTTTCTGAAATAAAGAGAGTATTTATATTAGCAACCAATAGTCTTCAAACAGGTTGAAATCTAACATTATCTTGCACTACAATATTTATATATCAATATCTTGCACTATAATATTCATGTATCAAAAGCAAAGCCTGTTGGTTCTTTCTCAAAGAATTGTAAATATTGTCCCTACCTGTAACTTTCCTGGGTTACGTTCCCAGTTGTAGCCATATTTGCCGAAAAGTACAATGATCCCCACACCCTTCATCTTCAGATTTTCGGATTCTCTGAAGACGGTCTCAGCATCCTTTTTGGTTGAGAAGGCCAGGTTGACAAAGCTGTAATCAAGTAATTTATCTGTATATCAGTCGTGTAGAGAACACACAAAGCTCAGAATTAACCGTATGTCATTTGTTTGCGTAGCTTTTCATGCTGGAGTACATCATCTAGTGACTAATGATTTAATAACCACCAGGAGTAGATAGTAATAAGATGTGGGCAGTCAGGAAAAGCCTACATATTTCAAATTATTAGGATTTTGAAACATTATTTCTATGTAAATCACACTTAAAATAGTAATAGTAATAGTAACAATATTAATAATAATAATAATAATAAATAAACTTATTTTCCAACTCATTAACTACCAAAAATTATTTACCTGTCAGAGAGAACACTCAATATACCCTCCAAGTATTCAAAGTGAAAAGCAAAAATACTTACCGCTTGTCTGAATTATAGTGCATGGCGGTGGCTGTTGGGAATACTTTCTGCAATTCCTCCTCTGTTGTCTCCTCTGGTAAATGCTCAACAAACAATCTGCAGTAGAGAGATTTTTTTAATGCCTTATCTAACACAAACAAAATATTTTTTAAATTTCTGCCTAATCCACCTCCAACATACCACATAAACATTCAGAGATACAACTTACGTGTATGGATTTACAGTTGCAACGATATCCCGCTGTTCCCAATTCCTTGCAATTTGCACGTCAGGGCTTTTCTGTAGTTCAGTCAACTTCTTCTGAGCCTCTGCCTTCGATTTGTAAATCACGAAGCACATTTTTCCGCAGCATCTTTTTTTTCAGTCTGCAAGTCAAAAAGATGCCCCTAAAAAAAAATACAAAATAAAAAAAAAAAAAAAAAAAAAAATGCAAGAGAACAAACTTAACACCGTAGAAGATTGCATCCTTAAAAATATCTGGCCTTGTCTTAAAGTAATCGGATTTGAATTTCTTCAATCTGACGATGAGGGTTCGCTCGCAGATACTGGTCTTCCGCTTGGAATAGATATCCAACAGCTCCCCAGCGAGCTCCAACTGGGGAAAGACAGAGGTGAGAAATTGGCCTGTAACAATGGCAGAGAAACGGAGCAAGAAGACAGGAGGAAGGTGACAACAGTGAAGTAGGTGGGGATGGTGTCAGGGAGGGAGAGGTAATCTTTGAAGAAAAAGGGAAATTCTTGCAATGTTACATCTGAGCCATAGTTCTTACAATACTATCAAACCTGTTCTATTAATGGATGTTTCTTATTGCATCTTCAAAAGACAAGCATCTCTACATACCTTTTCATCTGGTACATCAGGGTTTGTTTTCTTTTTCTTCTTGGGAGATTCGTTTTCCTTGGCCTCTGGATCTTCTACCTTCTCAGACCTCTTCCTCTTCCTCCTCCTCTTGGACTTTTCACCACCTTCAGCCTTCGCTTCGGTGTTCTCTGCTTCTGCCTCCTCTTTGGTATCCTCAACTTCCATATCCTCTTTGGGTTCCACCTTCTTGGGGGTCTTCTTGCCAGTCTTCTTGGGGGTCGTTTTGGGTGCAGGAGTTTCCACGACTTTAGTTTCCTCTACTTCCGTTTCCTGCTCTACTACCTTCTTGGCTTTTTTGGCATTCTTGGCACCTTTCTTTGGGGTTTCTACCTTCTTAACTGGAGTTGCAGCCTTTGTTTCTTTTACTTTTGAAGGCATGTTGGTGGATTTTTTCTATCTATAATTATCTGGAAAATAAAGGTAAATATGATATACACACGGTCTTATTCTTTACAGGTTTCCCAAACCCCAATTTATTTGTCTACCACAGAACAGTGAAATCGGGTTGATTATGGAATAAATAAAAATATATGACCAAAAAAGTAAAAGACATGGGGGGAAGGCAATAAATCTTTAAATACCATTGAGATTACTCCCCCCCCCCCAAAAAAAATGTAATGGAAACAATTTAAGTGATTGAGTCCTTATTAATCT